CATAACCTGCTCTATCTGCGTTTAACACCATTTGAATTTTAGCAATATTATCGTCAGTAGTTACAGTTTTTGGACGTCTCGAACGTTCATCATTTGGATTCAGCTGCCCAAAATTTTACTGTGGTAAATGACGGTGCAGAACCTCCATACACAAAGTCCAACTCAACTGCATTTCAAAAACAAATATTTTATAACAGCTATTTTCAGGAAAACACTCAAATCAACTCACCCAAACGACTCTCAACTAAAAACCACGTGTCGAAAATGGCTGAAACTTTGGTATATATAATACAAGGCGAAGATAGAAAACAAGAACAGTTCGAAACAAGAAACCTTTTGTTCCTGTTTGGTACGTTCGAAACAATCATAAGAGTTCATTCATATTACAATTTATTTTAAAAAGCTATAGCTTTAATTGAGGAGCGTTGATTCAAATCCAGATGTCTCCACTTTTCTCTCCACAATTCGAGATAAACTTAACAAAATTCCAGCTCCGTAATAATTTAAGGGCACTGGTAGGCAAAATGCTGTTTGTTCATAGACTTTTGACATAATCTTGAGCTTGGATTTAATGAGGTGTGCCTACAGATGGCAGGTACACTTTTCACGTATATTTGCCTTTGTCATTGCCGTCTAGATTAAAATCTACAAGTAAACACGGTAAACGCATTTCCGAGATAAGTTTTGCCCTATTTGATCAGAAGGACACTACAAGAAATAACGAATTCCTGTCATAGTGCATAAAATAGCCATTATTTTTGGCGTTAGTTTAGTTTAAATTGGTTTTAATTTTACTTGAAGTTGGAAAGCGTCTTAAAGTAGCTCTTAGTAGTATTTCAGATGATGAAATCGTAGATGGTATCTTTTCTTTTAATCCGCTGACCCAGTTTCTTGTCTCTATTTCTAACGCACGCGTTTTTTTTCTTTTTGGCCGTTTATTTAGCTCCCTTAAACGCCACCAATGAATCGAGAGGAATTGGATAAATTCGCTCTTAGCAGATCTATGTAAACTTTAGCTAGTGTGTACACGAGCAATATATTTTATCTTGCTAGAGTACATTAAATCTAGCTAGACCTAATCTACACTACTATAATTTAGTTATAATTTAGATACAATTTCGTCCGGAATTAGAGCAGGGCTCTCCAAAGTTTCCAGTTTTAGGGTCATACGGTTTACTACAGTTAAGGGTCAAAGCCATATTAATCTTTTTGTCATTATCTATGACACCTACGTCGACTAACGGAGCACACGCTTTACTAAAGTTGCTGCTTTAATTACTATAAATACTTGACGACATCAAGTGGTCTAAGTGGACAGGATTGATGACACTGACGAGAGTCAGATTTGGACCGCGGGCCATAGCAAACGAAACCTAGCATTAGCTGACCTCCCAAAGCTGAAGCAATGAGCAAAAAGACCCGCAGACAGAGGAAAAATCCGTCCGTCTACTTTGTTGCGTTGTTCTGCCTTAATCGAGATCATAAATATATGCTCAAAGCGTAATTTGGCCTTTATTTGCGATCAAACGATCCGTTTCCCCACAACCGAAGGTACACCCCGATACGTGTTATTCTCGACTCACTAAAAATAAATTTTAAACAAAACTTTCGACCCGTCGGGCCTTTTAAATTAATACTTTCAACTCCCGTCGGTGTATTAAAATAAGATATATAGGTAATAAAATTAACGGGGCGATTACTTCATTTACAACAATGATTCCTGGGGTCGGTACTCGGGGCTTAAAATTTACTTACATTCGTAACCCGAAATTCATGTAATTTTTCTCGCCGAAATCGAGCCAAATTCTCCGGGAGGTCAACTATTCGGAGTGCTGCGGGGCACCGATCCGAAATAGCCCCCCCTTTACGGAATATTAAAAGGCCAAACGTACCTCTTAGCGGAACAGTAAATATAATCCAACGGTCGCGTCGGTCGGGTACCAAATTAATATGGGCGTACCGCGGTGTCACGGTTTCACCGTCGTACAACAATGCAAAAAAGCACAGGTGTCGCGAAATTACAGGCATTCGACTCGAGATGGAACGCGGAGATCGAGACCGTTTTCGGAATGCCTACGTGGAGCACGTGAACGATTATTATAGAAATCGTTTTTCGTACCGGGAAAAATCTTACTACTTATTGGTAGAAAAACTTTCTAGGTGTGCGCACATATTCTTAAATCGGAACCACTGGGGATACACATTTTCAACGTTGGTTTTATCGTGTGATAAATTACGCGCGAAATACGATGGACCAGTGAAACTTGACTTTCAACTCTTGTACTTAATGATGGTCTAAACATTGATGGTTATAGCATTGTAACTTTGTAGCATTGTAGCTTTTTATTATCGCAGTCATTTTAAAGTTAGAGCTATAAATACATCAGAATAGACAGTTTATAGACCTCCAACATTTAACTTACTTGAATGTCTTGACTCTCTGGAAACCGTCCTTGCCGCACTTATTCCTCAAATTGATTTTTTGATGTTTGGCGGAGATATCAATGTTGATCTGTTAAAAACTAATACTCTCGCTTATTTTCGATTTTCAAATACTCTCGCCAGCTTCGGCATGCATCAACTAGTTACAGGGCCCACTCGGATTACTGGAAACTCTAGTTCGATCCTTGATGTACTGGTCACCCCTAATTTATTCATATGTGACAATATTGAAGTTCATGATATGAGTGATATCTCAGATCACTGTATTGTTTCTTGTAATCTGCAGAAAGACCGTCATCCAACCCTTTTTCGAACCTTCAGAGATTTTTCGGCATTCGATAATGAATTGTTTATGGATAGTCTTAGAGCAATTAACTTTTATATTCTTTTGATGATATAAACGTACAAGTTGACTTTCTTACGAATACTATGAATTATTTATTTGATATTCATGCTCTATTAAAAACAGTTAGAATTAAGAGACCCCCAGCCCCTTGGCTTACCGAAAACCTTAAACATTTAATAAAACTTAAAAATAGATCACGTTTAAGATACAAACATCTCAAGTCAGATATTGCTTTAAACGAATATAGAGAATTACGAAATTTTGTGAACTCCTGTGTGAGAGCCGAGAAAAGGGCATAGTTGGCAAGTACATTTAAGGCTGATACTAAATATTTTTGGCGTACTTTGAGGAGACTTCGAGTGCACAGTAATCCTACTTTAATGTTTGAAAACAATTTTGGTCAGCCTAATAGTTACTTCTTTTGGAGTTGTTGGTGGTATTGATCCGGGGTTTGTGTCGGCAAATTAGATTAATAAACAATTTGGTTGTAATTCATTCCGTTTTGCTAAAGTTTACCCTGAGGAAGTTAATAAAACTTTCATTATTATTAAAACTAACGCTCATGGCTCAGACAATATTGATATAAAAATGATTCTTTTGACTACTCCATATTTAGTCGATCATATCACTTTCCTTTTTAAGTGTCTGCTAACCGGGGTTTTCCGGACTCATGGAAGCAAGTTGAAGTTATACCCGTTCCAAAGAAACAACCAAACTATTTTATATTATTTACAGATTGTGTCTAACGTGGCGTTTGGTTGCATCTTAACCAATTTTCACAAATATCAGTTGGTAAATACATATGCAGAAGTATTATAAAATTAAACGAAATTTTTAGGAGTATTCACTCTATTCGCTGGAGGATATTTCAGCCGTTTTTTTTTATTTGACTTTAATTGCTAATTAAATGTATTAAACATGCACCTTTCTATGAAGAAAATAACCATACTTAAAGAAAAGCAAGGAGAAAAAAATTAGATACAATTTTTTTAAAACAAAAATGATTTTTATTTGTATTTTAAAAATTTGTGCACTTTATAAAATTTATATTTATTAATTAATTAAAAGAGATTTTAAGCTCAAAGCTTAAGCTTTATTAATTATTATTAAATATTTTCCACATAAACTAAAAACAATTTTCATAATCGGTAAAATCATTTAGAAATCCCTGAAATCGTGGTTTAAATCTCTTATACTTAGTTTTCGAAATATTTTGGATGGCGTTTGTTATATTATTATATTATTATAATATATTATTCCTTTTTATAAAAAGAGCAATTTGTATTTAGTTAGTTACGGAAATATTTCACAATAATGCATTTTTAACTAGTATTAAAAATATAAAAGACGAATAGTATATTTCCTAACAGGTGCAGAAAGTGATACTATTTTGTAACGGTTTGGAAGATTATTTTTGTCTACAAGTACGCAAAAAAACACAAAAAAGAGAGAAAGAAAATTGATAAAATTAACGTTAAATTATTAAAATTAAATTAAAATTAAAACTTATCTTTTGAAGCAGCAGTGGCAGCTGAATTCCCTTCCCACGGACAAATTTATTGTACTCAAAAATGTCTGTATTTGACATTTCAAAAACACCAAAAAACAGGACATACATTAATACCAAACAGTTCTTGTGTTTTTCGTTTACAACATGAAAGTGATCACAAATAAAAAATGTTTAAAAGGCGCATTATTTAAAACTATGTTACATCATTTTAAATTTCTAAATTAATCAAAATTAAACAAGATATTAGTGAAATTTTCTCAGAAATCTCAGAGTGAGATGTCTTTGTAATTTTCATTGGATGCAGCACATCCATACATTCAAATTTTTCGATAAAATAAACTCTTCGAGTTGGAGAAAAAATCTCCTTTCTTAGGACTTCGTCTAGTTTCGTCTAGTTTTTAGACTGTCTTGATACTTTTAGCAGTTTTAAGAAGTTGTAATGTAAATGGCTGTTTCAAGTTTTAAGGATGGCATGAGATTTTTAGAACATTTAACAACTTTTAATCAAATTATAATATTAAAAATCCGTTTTAGTTAGGTTTTTGAAGCCTTCGTTCCATGAATATTGAAATCATTCAAAGCTAAACCAATTTTTTTCCCTCCTTTGCTTCAACATTGCTAAATTATTTTTAAGTCGATAACCTGCGGAAGCTTCATTCGAAAGTCATAAAGTAAATTACGGAAGTGAACGCGGAACCTCACCTTTAGAAGCCTCTCCCTAACTTCGCAAGAAAATATTCCCGGCTGCTCTTTCTTCATTTGTTCGATGCGTTCCTCGACGTCTTTGCTGGCCACCCTAGGCTTAGAACCTCCAATTACACCTGGTCGAATGCTGCCCGTTTCTTGGTAACGATTGAGGATTTTGGACACGCACCCATGTGACACTTTGAGTTGTCTCGAAATTACGCACGGGCGAACTCCTGCGGCAGCCATTTCTACGATTTTTAGACGGATGTGGTTGGGAAGCGGTCTACCGTTTATAAATACTCCACCCAGTTGGTTGACCCTTCCTTGGCCTGTAAACAAACCCATTCGTTTAGGATAATACTTATTCGCCATAGTATTCGTCAGTGTGCGATGTATTATAATGTGTCGTGTTATTGTCGCGAGTTACGGCAAAAGACAAATAAGTTAAATTTAAGTAGTGAAAGAAATAAAAATTACAGTAGGTAAATGGCTGTCGCCCATAATGTAGGAGAATGGAGGTGTATCAAGCCTCGGTCTCAAACCGTTTTTGTGTTTTATAGGCTATCTACACATCTTCGGGATTACATAATAATCCACATTATATAATGATAATAAGAGTAATATTATGTCTTTATTTCTGTATATCCATACTATCTACAAATAACCGTTTTCTTTTACAAAATGAATGTATATAACAGATTTTTTTTTTTTTACTTCTTCTCACACTTATTAATATATCCTATTTTGCCCACGTTTGTTAAAGGTAGACTGTGCTTTTTTTAAAACTTTACTTTTCGAAAAAATATCTGAAAGCATAAAATTTAAATCTACTTGGAGTCAGGGCTTTGAAGTTATTAGGAAGACTATTATACAACTTAGCTGCATTAAAGGAAAAACCACGCTCAAATAGTGTTGTTTTATGTAGAGGAGGAGTTATGGCACCTCTAAATCTAATACTTAAATCATAAACATGCTCTGCTCTCCATGGTCAACCATATTATCTATAATAAAAAATAAAAAAAATAAATTTAGGCATAATAAGCAAAAAATATTCCCCCATAGAAGAGCTTACAGCACCTACAAGAAAGTACCAAATAATTTCAAATTTAATAAGGAGATTTTTAAGGACATCTTATCGATCGCGTAGAATATCATATCATAAAAAAACAACTGGAATATTTTAATTATATAATAATTTTAGTTGTTAACGTAGAGCGGTAAATTTCAACTATTATTATTATAAATCCATGAAATTTTTTGACTGACATACTTTTTTTTATACTTTTACACGGTTACTCTGTCTCTGACCTATTAGAAGGATCTTGCAAATTAAAGTATTTAAATTTAAGAATTTGAAGGCGGTGCCATATCTATTCGAAACAGATACCTTTTTTGTTAATTCAATATCCTGTATTCATTCTAATCTGTTACTTTACAAGATTATTAAACACCGTTCTCCTCCTTATTATATAAGCGGTTCCTAAATTTGCGCATTAACAATATTTTAAGAATTATTTAATTTTTTTATAATTTAATTTAATTGACTCATTTTTCATATTTAAAAAGAAATTAAAAAAAACTCTGTTAGAAGGACAATAATTGATTTATTTTTACGTATCGCTTAATTAGCGAAACTGGAAAATAACATCATTTTTCTCCTTTCTTGTGATATTCTCCTCCTTCCTGGAGCATTTCCCGGTTTTCAACTGCTTTTATAGAAATTTTCTTTTAGTCATTAAGTAGTTATTTAAAAATATATCAAATTATTGAAGAAAAGAAGACTAATTGATTAATTATTCTTAGTAAGTTAAGTACTTTCGCCGTAGAACGGAACTTGCCTTGCGCAAGAATCTGATTATATTTTGTATTGTATATTATTATTATTGCATTTTTAGATTCTGCGAAAAAATTGTGAATGTCTTGATCCGAACAGAAGGTTTTTAACCGTAACCAATAATTTTTTTTAATTTGTTGGAAATAAAAGTTATTGTTTAAAAATTTTGGCAAAAACATTTGTCGAGCCATTTTATGAAATTTTTGTAAATTTCGGTAATAAGTAACCACCGTCGAAAGAATATTGTACAACAAAATTAAAACTCTAAAGTCACATAACCTTAATAACTAAATATTACAAAATGTCTTCACTTAACTTGTAGATATTCGTAATTATTGGATTTTCCTTGTATCATTACTTTTTATATTTGCTTACAATTACGTTACGTTCAAAAACGTCGTATACATGGGTTCCTATTTAAAGTTTACCGATAACTCGCTTTTTTGTATTTTGCTAAATTGTCATACAATGTATACAACATTGGAAAGCAGTAAATAAATTTTCAGAATTCTGATAGAACTTAAGAAGATACTTAATTAATTTTATGATTTTATGATTTCGTCTAATTTTCTAAAAAATAATTATTTCCGTAATAGGTCACCACAGTGCACCAAACTAAAAGGTTCAGAAAATATAAGACGGCAATGTTTTGCATATAGCTTTTACTAATAGCCCTGTGGCAGGAAATCAATTTGTAAATTTTCCATAGAATTTCTACGAGGCCTAAGAGTTTGAAAACCCTGTATATAAAGTTTTTGAGAAATGGCCTCTTTGGAATAGTTTTTACAACCTCATATTATGTTTTAAGATCCAATATTACATAATTAAACTCTTGTATCTACATACAGCGTAGGCATACATGGATAGTACTACAGGAGATCTCGATAACTATAAAAGCTAATATGGAAAAATAGATGGAACATTCTGGATGGCATTTTCTGTGAGGACCTTAATAGTAAAAAGTCAAACTCTCTACGGTTTTTTGTTTCCGGGTTAACAAAAATTCATAATTATTTATTTGCAAATACATGTTATAGTATATTAAGTTTCATAAGCGCCGCTTTAGGGACAAGAATGAATTGGCGCAAGTGGAATGCCAGCAGTGCCACTTGTACGAGTGACTGAAGTTTGAATGTTATATCTTATATATTATTATATAGAGAGAAATTTTCCCCTGACTGATTTAAATCATTCTAACAACGAACGTTACGAAAAAATTAATAACAAAAGTAAAATTCCATTCACAGTAAATAAGCATGTGTTGAGACAATATTGATTATATTTTTCTAACTAAAACATTTAATTTAATAATTCACAATTTTGTAAATCATATTCTTATTGCGCCCATAAAGTATTGCTGACATTTTCTACAAACCGACATTAACAAAATATATATTATATAATTTATTCAATGAATTAAAAATTATTATTTGAATGGGAAGAGGAGCATTTTGCTCCGGAGATTCACGGTATGTAGAAATTAAATTATTTAATATGTAATTTATCCCTCGATTTAAAAAGTGGAAACCTAATATTGCTGAGTTTAGGGAACCTGTTGTTCTTCAAGTTGTTCATATTGTTTCTATTGAAGAAAATAAATGTGCAAGTGCAAAAAGAGAGAAAGTAAGAAAATATAGAATTACATAAAAACCCTTTATCATCGTAGAAGTTTCCACAGTCACTAAGGTTACACCTACATTGCTCTTGCTCTTGCAAATTAATATCTCTGGATGAAGGTTTTAGACCATCATGCCCCACAACCTATAATAAAGAATATTTGTTTTAATAAACAATACAAAAGTTGCCCATATTTTGCCGAAACTGTAAAATTACTGCCTCGTAATTCACTGGTGACCGATCCAAATGAGTCCAGTACTGACAAGTAGCTAGCAAATTTCGTACAATTAAATATTATTTTTCGTAAGTTGCTTCTTAATAATATTTCACTTTTGTTATTTCAACGAAGAGTTCTCCCAAAATAAATAATAATTGTATCTAGTATGCCATTTTTCTTGCCAAAAATAAAGTAGAATTTTAATAACACAAATAAAAAATGCATTTACCTTATTAATTTTTCGCATAGTTCCCAGAAATAATTTAAAGGCTCAATTTGCGAACAAATTAATCTTTGGTTGCTTTAATACTATATAATATTATATTACATATAGTATATTATAATATCCTCTAAAACGATAAATTCGCGCATATAAAGGAATCTATGTACGAGACGTCCGCCATGAATACAGACACTTCATCGGCTAATAACCGTTTACCTTTTATTCCATCATTATTTCCACGTTTATTACCACGCTCATCAAGTTAGTGTTGATCATTATGCCCGCGAATGTAATATGGTTATAAATAAGTTAATTAACATTAAACGTAAAAGGGAGCATTTAAAAATTACCGCCATAAATATTCCCTTTTTTGTGCTCTGTGGTTGCGCTGACGACTACTCACTCTTTTTTTGGTTGTTTTGTGCGTACAATTATTGTAGTCGATGCTCATTTTCTCGTATTTTTTGCGACTCTCATTTTATTGTGGCTCTATCTCAAATAATGATACACGGATCATATTCTAAATCCACATGATTACCCTTAAAAATTGTATCCACTTAAGAAATTTACACAATTGGGAAATCTTTGTTTATGGATAGATTTTGATATTTTTTTTGTTGTTCGATAGATCTCTGAAAGATGTACTAAAACTTTGTTTTGCTTATTGCTTCAACTTAAAGTCATGGCGAACTGGGCCTATTTAACAAAAAAGAGAGAAGTACTATTAGGGATTTAAAAAATAAATAAATTGGCAACGAATTCTTATTCAGGAATACTTAGAACCCAACTATAATGTTTACTCCATGCTTAAAGCTGTACATCGTTGTAAAATATTTGATTGCGGTTTGATTTTGATAACTATTTTTTTGGTGAATACATGTCTCAAAAACGTATCTTATGTTTCCTTTTACACCAACCTAAAGTCGTGGCCAACTGGAACTAATTTTTGATGTCAAATATCGATAAGGGCTATTACGAAATTCTTTAAGAACAAAGTGTCAACGAATTTTTATTTAGGGCTACATAAAACCTAACTATACTCATTTTTTTATGACTCAATTGTGATAATTCTTTTTTGCTGTATAGATCTTACTAAAGAGGAATGAAACTGTTTTTTCTTACAGCATCGACTAAAGTCATGGCTAACTCACGTAGTTTTCTGAAGCGGAAAATCGAGAAATACTCTTATAGATTTATTCAAATTGAAAATGACAACAAATTCCTATTCAGGACTACATAAAAGTAACCCGATCAACGACCAAGGTATTTATGTTTTAAAAAAATAAGTATTGTAAACCTTGCGAACAACGTATAGGTATTTTAAGATCTTACAAATTTTAATTAAACAAATTTCAAAAATATTGATAAAAAATACTTTTTAAGGGGTACTTATTTTTTAGTATCATCTTAAAACGACAGTATTAATAAATCTTAGTATTCGAAAAGCATGATATTAACAAAATTAAAATATAAATTAGCGAGTGAATTTGACAGTCGAATATTCACTTCTCCATGGCAAACTTTTGGTATTTCTGTTATTTTCATTATTAGACGATAATTAAAAATCATTTCGAGTTAAAAAAATACAGCGTTGTAAAGTCTCACATCTAATCCACTCAAATCATATTTAATTTTAAGAAAATCGTTAATGTTGAAATCAATCCAAAAAAGAATGATCAAAATTGAGCCATAAGTAAATATTCTACAGGGGTAATGCCTGTAATGGAACTTCATTCACACTTCATTCTTAAAGATATCCCTAATAGCCCTTCTCGATATTTGACATTAAGAATTAGTTCCAGTAGGCCATGACTTCAGGTTGACGTAATAAGAAACATAAGGTTTTAGTGCGTTTTTGAAAGCGCAATCTAACAAAAAAAAACAAAATGAAACGGTAAGATTTTACAACGATGTACAGCCTTAAGCGGGGCTCAAACGATATTTTAAACACCCTGTATTAAAACATTATAAAAATTGGTATAGCTGTGCTCTAAGTACTACTGAATGAGAATTCGTTACATTTTTTTTTTAAATTAAAAGGTTATCAAAATAGAACCATAAACCAAGATTTTACAAGAGTGCACAGTTCTTAAGTGGGATACGCTGTATCTCTGAATCTACCCTAAAAACAAGACATTTTACAAATTGTCTTTGAACATACTCAAGACATCGAATATGATATATATTGGTGTTCAGACTAGGCAAGAATATTCAAGCTTAGACTTAATCAATGAATAATACACAGACAGATCGCTCATAAAGATCGAAAACAATAATGATCCAAGATTAGAACACTAAAGCGACAAATAAGACCCAGTTAATAATAAACTATTTTATTTTGCAAAAAGGTACAAAGCAATTGACGAGACATAAATATAAACTAAATTTAGAGACTTACAAACAAAAATACAAGTACACATTCAGTCTTAAGGGTGTGGAAAATGTTGAAATGTTTAAGACGTTTTTAAAAAACCATTATGCCTTATTATCGAGAAAATTGGAATAGGTTATAAAAGCCCACTCAAAATAATGCAAAGTTATAATATTTGAATAAGCCAAATAATATACATTTTTCTATAAAAATAACACAAATTAAATTCTTTTAAAAAATCCTAATCAGAAGCTGTGGCCGTGGCTCCAAGTGCCACAGGGCACACAAAACAATACCAAGATTTCATTTCTGAGAGGTTACGTTTTCTTACTGACTGATGATATAAAGACTGTAGGTTTCGATTTAGCATTTGTTGAAGCAGGTCTTTCGCTTACCATATGTGCCTCTTAATTAAGAAATTTTCTATTTGAACTCTTTTTTTTTCAATTTTAAGAGTTCCGATGTAGGGAGGAGTTCTTTGAAAGACTTATTGAAATCTTGATTTTCTTCTTGTCTCTTTGTCGTGTCTGAGGTGGTATCATCATTCTTGATAGGTGTTTCATTCCTTGTATTGTTTTTTGATGCTATTAGGCAATTTTTGTTGGGATACTGAGTGGGATATCATCTTCAAAGTAGTTTGAATTATCGTTGAATTCCTGACAGATATCAACATTAAAACGATTTTTAAGCGGTAGAGTTTTTACAATCATCCTCAGCGTAAGAACGTTCAGTTGCTAGTGAGGGGTCAAAAGCTAATTCAGGAATTACAGTAGGATCAAATGTGGCACGCAACTGTTTAAAATTGAGCTCACGCATCTAAGACAAACATTAGGTAAAAATTTGCCAAAAAAGAGATTTGTGCATTTGAAAATCTAGTTGTATTTCCCAAAACCTAACCACTACTTCCAGTGATTGGTAAAAGACCTATAAACAGCTTTATATAAATGCTGAAGTATTTTAGATGTTAAATGAAATATTTATCTAGGTGTCACGCAGCAGCAACTAGCAGGGTACTGGGATATGACCTTCAAATCGATCGTTAGGAACACCCCGGCGTTGTTGTTACAGTTGTGGGTGCTGGACGTTATGAGACAACATCTACTGAAATTCCTTTGTCGAGAGAAAAACCAGACGAGAACAAATCAGCTTTTCAAAAGCTTCAGAAAATCTCGATAGGAGCGCCGTACTTCACTATTATGCATACAAAATTTGATCCACCAGGGCACACGCCCCCTTTGGCATGTGGATGTCGAATTCAGTTGTATGCGACTTTTGTTAAACTGCTTGTGAAACTAGCCAACGGAAAGCTATGCCATATTTCATCGCTATAAGCATAGCATTCATAATTATTTATTTCAGAAACTAATCTTTTCAAAGAGTATGATGATTTTGGTTTACATCAAGATAAAAACATTGTTTTGTGAATTGTACTGGTTTAGGTCTAGGTTTAGGTTTAAAATTAAATTTTGCTTCAAAGGCGCTTCATGTGGAGGAAACATTTTTAAAGCATATAAACAATTTAGTTAAGTTTAGATGAATTTATACGTAACGAAAAACAGAGGGGAACCGAAAAAACCCTACACCTTTTTGTATAATAGCGATAAAGTCATAACATCCAATTTATCCTAATCTAAGGAACTGGTTTCTTCTCCATTATTATGAAAGTGTCTACCGATCAAAATCACATGCACATATTTTTTTCTCGATAACCTGTCGGAAAGCAACTTTACCTTTTTTTTTACATGATTTTATGGGTTAATTTTCTGCGTATGAAGAACCATGTATATAAAGTTTTTTGTAATAATGTTATGACGAAGAACACACGCTTGACACGAATTTTTTTCGAAGTAATCGGATTTATAGATATTATAAATGGAAACTGGTAGTCGTAAATATTCCAATATTTTATTTAACGATACGTCCTTTTTTGTAGGTAAATGAACAAAAGTTCTTTATTACTTTTTTCGTTCTGTTGCTTAGTTATTCTTTACTTCTAAAACACAAATTCAACTAATCAAACCAATCAATAAGTATTGGGCTAATTATATGAAAATAATATTTCGCCCGAGAATCAATTTAGATTAAATTAAATTAAATTAAAATACTGTCGACACAAGATTCCCCTTAAAATAAATAATTGTTTATAGTACTTAAAGAGTTAATTGGCTAAATAGGATATTTCGTCATTCTGCAATTTTGTATGCAAAAATACTAAATAGAAATTCTCGTCCATAACTTTTTAATATAATTTAAGGGAACGCCCACTCCATCACTGCATGCAACTGACATTTTTAAGCGCTCCTTCTCATATAAAATTTTATTTTTTTACCAAATTACCAAAATAAAAATAAAAAACTTAAGCAACCTCCAACGTTTAAAACTAAACTTCTCTCGGCAACCATGTATTTTATTTTAGAAACACTATACTATACTTTCTGTTTAATATGAATTACAAATTTTAAAATTGAAATTTATGTACTTTTTTCCTCTCTCTCCTCTGTTTAGATGGAACAGTATATTAATCTTTAGTAGACTAAATCTCGCCTTTTTTATCAAAATGTTAACTTGTTATTGTTATATTGTTTATAATTCAAATAAAGATCTTTATTATTATTATTATTATTATTATTATTATTATTATTATTATTATTATTATTATTATTATTATTATTATTATTATTATACGGCAACTGCTATTTGCCAATTGTACAAAGCAAATCATAAATAAATGAGCATGATGAATGCAATTTATTCAAATTTATGTTGAGATAAATTAGACAACTTACCATATTCAACCTTTAGGTTGTTGTTTCACTGCATTCTAAAGACATTCTCTCAAGACATTACTAGCGATCTGCTTGTGAGATATATTTTTTCTCAGTGTATTATTATTATATTAGTATTATATTAAGAAATATTTCATATTTAAAATTTAAATTAATTGATTCTTTCGCTATATATATGTGGCCAACCAATTCTATTGTGTTGTGACGTGACAATATTGGATATTTCATTCGGAATATATTTTAATTAAGTATTATTTTTTTTCTCAGCGTATTAGTTAAATTTAAAAAGGAGCTAAAGGAATTAGGAAAATTAGATTGACAACACTAAAAAATTATACATAAGCGTTTTGAAAATATTTTACCTTGAAACTGATAGCTCCCAAAGAAGGGCCTAACATCCATTTTGACCAATTACCGGTTTAACGCACCATAACCGTGAAATGTCACCGGACAGAAACAAAAACAAAACGTCGCGTACCCCAGGGCATCGCAATCGAAGCCTCTGCGGCTATATCTCGTCGAAATCTCGAAAGTTTAGGAGCGTAAACATCGCGCGGTAAGCCTTCCCATGTACACTAAATTACCTATTCTAATAATTCACTCCTAACCGGGAAAAAAATGTATAAATTACCATCTGGCCGCGATGTTTCAGCACCGGATTGGTCGGATCGGCTCTCACATGTCCCATTGTAAAGAGAGACGGCAGCATTGGTACACCTGAAAAGTACTCCTCGCTAGTGTCGACGTTCGAGGTTGGAGTGGGAAATAAAATGGCGGACGGTGATTTTTTTGCCCGTTCGCCCATGTGAATGGAAGTTTACGATGACGAAATGTGAAAATCGATATTTTAAGACATTTATTGTCGCCTGCATGCACTTCATTAGCGTGCACTATCTGCGTGCACTCGACAATGCGCACCTACGAAGGCGGGATCTCATTTTAAAAATTATTTCAACTTCACGTGGGTGAGGGGTGTTACTAAAAAGTTCGATAGATCGAAAAAACCAGGTGTTTTTTCTGTCAGTTGATTTTTATAAAGTCAATTTATTTGCACATTCCACATTTTACATAATACAATTAATTTCTCAAATTAATGCAACATGAAATTATACACGTTAATTAAGTAACTCAAATTTCTCCTTACCCCGTATGTTTCCATTTGAAATTTTTATTTATTTGTTTATATTACGGTACTTATTACTAACTTTAAATTAGTACTTTAAAATTTTCCATATTTTCTGTTTTATCACCTGCCAGTTTGCGTGGCCTCTCACTTAAAGCTTTTCTAACACTTTCTTTTTATAGATCTATACGCTATAGTTAAATATTTTGATCCAGAGCTTAACTTGGAAGTTTAAAATATTCTTAAAATATTTAATATTTACTTGATGGCCACACACATTTTCTCGCGTTGAGACACCTCCTATGAAATGTCGTGCTTTACCATACAAGTTGCACATTAGAACAAATATTTATAGATTCAACAAAATTTCGAGAAAAGCAATTAACTCTAGTATTGTTGCCCCTAAGGTTAATTTTGGTTAGAATTCAGTTAAAATTATTTGCTTTCACTCTCCTCATTAAATTATAATTTGCTGCACTAAATAGCGAGAATAACGGAGATACAACTTGGAGATTATAGAAGATACTTTTCTCCTTAACGGTGCCAAATATCATCCCCAACTCGTAACATTATAAACAATTACGACAATCAGTTACATAGTTTGTCTATATATCTGCTTGTGCATGTTGAACCACTATAGTGAGAGTTGATTACAGTAACAGTGCAAAGACTACATTGAGTCATATAATAATGAGTTGTGCAGCCAAATATTCTTCGTTAGTGATGCCTTAATTTTGTTTATTTTTGTTTTCTAAGAAAATGAAGAAATTATCGATGAAACAGTAATATACGGTTCAATTTTAATGTAGTCAATTTAACAGTTCGTTCTTGAACTATAAAAAGCAAAGCAAGCAGTTAAAAATTGTTTAGATTTTGGGATTCGTCATATTCTGGATGGACTAAAGATATTTTCAAAACTGCAGTTCGGTCTTAGACAAGGCAAATCAATTCATGATATGCACTTTCTCGGACCATAGCCGTTGATTCTGTTTTTCATAGAAAGTTATTGCGAAAATTGACTTTGCTTCAGGGAAAGAATAATACCCTAACTTTCTAAATGCTCGGTGGACGTTAAAATTATTGTTGGAGAGCGGCCTAGAATCTTTACAAACGTTGATATTAATTTTGTTCGTACAACACTTTGCGATTTGAATTCCTCTGACCTTTAAAACAGTATTCACTCAAACTATGGTATACACAACTTTTTTCCGAAAATGCGTTATTAAAATCAAAATAGAAATTAAGCCGCCTGGTAGCCATTTCATTATCGTTATACATTGTTGGTTTCGCTTTAAAATTGTTACTTGGGTTCATAGTATAAGCGTTGATTGATTTAGTTATGATTTCCATTCATACCTTTAAATAAACGTTATTTTTATCATCAGTGTAATGTTTTAAGGAAACATCTGGACAAAATTTCATCGTGTTTAGTGAATTTAGCGAATGGCTTTATCTCTTGGCCGCACTCAGTTTACCGAATAGTAAGTTGCGCGGAAGGAAAGTTTCGCCAAAAGAAAAATTACCGAATTACATTTGAGAGAAGCGAAATTTTCCCGAATCCTATCTACGTTGCATTAAAAAAAACGCAACCAGTCAACTAAACCAACCTAAAACTTTAATGAACTGAACTACCCCCATAAGAAAATAAAAGAAATGGTATGAAATTATTTAGGTAGATATTGGACGCACTTCTTTAAATACCCATAGATAACATATTTTAATGCGTTTCAATATTTCTTCCAAGCCACATACAAATTGTTCAAACATTTGAATAATTTCGCCGAATTTTGATATATATGATGGTCGGCTGCGATTTGTTTGAAACATTAGTGCCATCCTTCACTAGAGTTATTGGTTTTGAAGGTATACCTTGTTGAACATTATTACACCAATTCCACAGTTCATGGTTAAATCGAGGCGAACGACGACCCGAATTATAGAAAAGTAGAGAAAATGTAAAAGTAATAATCTTTATTTATATTATTGAATTAATAATTACGTAGGAATTTACAATTATGGAATCATAACTTTTGCCACGTGCTTTGCACATCCGCTTCTACAAAACTACAAGATTTTCATTGACTCGGAGGACTCCCTCGCCGAATGAAATGTTTATTTTTCGGTTTCGTCGACAATAACGCTGATGAATAGCGTAATCCAGTCATCGTTAACCGACCGAGTCATGATGCCTTTTCAGTTTTATTAATTAACACCTCTTAGTAGTCCGCGCTAAATCAAAACTATTCAATATTGATTCCGATCCTTGTCCGGGATGACTAACGACAATCTTTTCTCTGTCGACCGTGGGCCGCACGAAAGGAAAAGAAACGGGCGACGACACAAACACCGAAAGGCTCAACCGTGAATAATCCAATCAGGCGAGTCATCTGTTTGTGCCCTTTGGGCCGCTTCGGAGGCGCTTAAGACCACCTGGGCACGATTTGCCGATTCTGCATTGCTAGCCTTGACTAGTTTCGGCTCAATGTTGAAAAGAAGACATTTATCTATTACTTGTTTCAATTTGCGGATGGTTAACTCGTCTTAATCCGTACAATCAGAACCTTGCGTTTAAAGTCTCGAATTAGTAATAATTTTTATAATTTTTCAATACTTTTCGGCTCCTGTTTTCGACTAACAATCTAATTTACATATTCAAAACGCAGATGAACACGAAAATCTTTACTCTATATATAGTAGGATTGAAAGATTTGCTTCCTGTTTTACTACACAGTGTGGTCAGTAGAAAATGATTAATATAACGGGTGATTCAATAAGAATTTCCACATTACAATCTGAAATATTTTTGAACCGCCACTGTATTTGTTTATTATCATATGAGATTTCTAACCTCAAAACATAAACAAAATTAGTCATGGAGCAATATACGACTGAACAACGTGTAATTGTGCAAGCCTATTATCAAAATGATCGATCAAGAAAAAATGTATTTCGGGCTCTACGTGAATTTTTCGGCCCGAAAAATCGACCTTCTGAGAGGACAATTTGGAATGCTGTTCAAAAATTTGAGCAAACTGGATCTGTAACTAACCTCAAAGTCGCTCAAAGTGCTCGTGCAGGTCGATGATTTTTCCTGGGAGCAGTTGCAAGGTATAGACATTGAAGATTTGTGGTTTCAACAGAATGGAGCCACTTGTCCCACATCCAGAAAAACGATGCAATTGCTGCGGGGCAAGTTTCCTGGTCGGATTATCTCACGTAACGGCGATATCAATTGGCCGCCGCTATCATGTGATCTTACTCCCCAAGATTTTTTTTTGGGGGTGTGTAAAAATCAGAGTGTATAGAAATAAACCAAACACTATTCCAGAGCTGAAACAGGAGATTAGACGCGAAATAGCCGGCATAGAACCTGAATTGTGTCAAAAAGTGATAGGAAATTTCAATAAACGAATTACGTGATGCCACATGAGTCGCGGGGGTCATTTGAATGACATCATCTTTCATACCTAATTGTAATACACTAATCTACAATGCCAAATAAAAATGTTTATATATTTTTATATTCTTCCGAGTTTTTTTTTATTATTTTAATGTGGAAACATTACATAATGCAGATATTTTAAGCCTCAAAAGAGAGAAGAAAAATATAGATGAAAATTTATACTATTCTATAGATGCAAGGCAGAAACCTGCAGATTCCTCCTGCGTCGGTATTTGCTTAGTCGAAATTGCTGACGTTTCGCCAATCATCCTATTGGCTTCTTCAGAGCTTGACTGAAACTGGCTCGTATTTTACTCTGTACCTGCTTAGATATTGTTTGAGGGGGGCGGAGCTAAATGAGGGGCATAACAAGCAAGAATTTTAGTTTTAACGAATAAAATTCTATATCCGGTTTCGTCATTGTGTTTGGCAACTGCTGATGAGTTTATTTGTCTTAGTCTCAAGACTCTTTCATGTTGGTAGTTTTCCTCCGTTATCTCCAATGCCGCAAATGCTTGAAATGCTGTAAACTCCTGGCATCTTAAATGGAATTTTGTCTTTGATGGATCGAAGATGCTGAGAGATTTTTAGAAAAGTGATAAATCTGGTTTAGACGTTATATTTCTTTAGAACTTTTGATATGTGGTCAGTGATGTTCTGAATATAAGGACAACAGTTGCAAGCGTTTCGGACTCATTGCTATTGGATGGTTAGAGAGAAGAGCAAAGGTAAGGTGTTTTAATTCTGCGTTGAGTGACCCGGCCTGAGATAGTCTTACGGCCATGTAAGCAAGAGAGTTGATAAACGATTATTTTTGGGCAGTATGGTGATGTGACAATGCATTAAGGTGTGAAGGTTTTCTGTAAACACCCAATGTTAGGTCTGATTTTCTATTGATAAGAATATATAAGAATGTCTAAGAATG